TATATATATATATATATATATATATATATATATATTTATATTTCTTCATGTCTAACATAAAAGGTCGTTTTAGCTTTTGCTATTATTCCAATTTCCATGTTCAGTTCACACTTCTGTTTGTCTGCACTTACATAGTTGCAATTTTTTTAATGAATTGGGGGTGGTTATAACTTGGCATAAAAGGGAATGCCACTGTTGCGTTTTACATTTATTTCCATTTTAAAATCCCCCAATAGTGCATATTCCCACTTTTGGTAAAGATGCTCGATGAGAAATACTTAGCTAATTTTTACTTCGTCGTCATGATTATTATTATTATTATTATTCCTATTAGTTGAAACTTAAATCATCATTAATGGTTTATTTTAAGTTGGGAGTATTTTTGAACTGTATATACATATAAAATTGAAATAATCACATGTGTAAAAATAAGATTTTTTAACACACGCATTTTATAAATAATATCTATATGACATAAAAAGTGATGTAATGATATACTTGTAAATATATTAAATATTTTATGACAAGTGTTGATTTACCGTTATAGAATTTTTTTGTGACTAGTGAGTTAACACCCATCATGAAACTTTGACTTCAATCTTTTTATGATGGGTGTCCTATTATAAAAAGAAACATTATATGATGTTTAAATCGTTACCTGTTATAGAATCTCTTTTTATTATTTGTACTAAGAGCACAAATTGGGCTCACATTCCATTGTTTAGGCAACAAAGGCGATAAATGTTTATACATTGTTGAGGTGATTTTCAATGACACTAACGATTGTTGAGGCAATTTCGTTCTCATACTTTTCTCTTTTTCATTCTCATTCTTGCAACTGTTCATTTGTTATCATGTTTCAAATTAGTTCTCATTGTCTTCTCTTTTTTGTGCATTTCATGTATATGGTGTTGGTGTTGTTTGATGTTGTTGGTCCAGTGAAAGAGAAAGAGCATAACAACGAAACATGAAGAGATACGATAAGAGAGAAAGAGTACAAAAATAAAATGCAAAAAGATGCAACAACTAAAAAGAAATAGCAATGTGGTGAAAAAATATGAAGAGACGCGACAAAAGAGAAAGAACACGATGAAAAAACATTTTTTAACCCAAAAAATAATTTTATTAATTATTTTTATAGCCAACATAAAAAACAAGACTTTTTATATAGTCAAGATTTATGATAAATTTAAAATTGACATAAAAAATTATTTCTACCCGTCATTAAAAGTGTCGTGCACATTATTCTTATTAAACTCTTATTCAGTAAACAAATTTTAAAATATTAATTTATGTATGTGTAAACACAAATAAAATAAAAATTAAAAAGAAATATATATATATATATATATATATATATATATATATAAATAAACAATGCACTTTACCATTTCCTATTTGAAATATTAATAAATCACATGTATAATTTATTATTTAAAAGGTAATTAAAAAATAAGGTAGAATGTCTCTTCGTATAAATAAATTATTTATGCATAAATGGTTCTTCTAATTACAGAGAAGTGTTGATGTCATTACCACCAATGGTTGGAGTGACTTTTTCTTTTTCAACATATATCCTCTTTTGCAGACGTCTTTCCCAACAAAGAGTCGAACTTATTAATTTGCTATGTTACGAGAGTTCAATTTATTGACAACGAGTTCAATTGCATGAGTGATATTTATAAAATATAGTATTTTAGATATATTATAACTTGCTGGTAAATGTCATAATAATTATATGTGCATATATAATCTGAAGGTTATATTATAAATGTATACATATTTTACATAAAGATTTTTATTAATATAACAAAATTGTGTACTCGTCAATATATAAGTACATTATTGATTATGGAAGGGATTGTAGTATTCGTCAAACAACTTAATTACAATTTTTAGTATTAATTTTATGATGATCATCATTTGGTAATTCTTCTATAAAACATATGTATTTTTATCCCTTTCTCTAAATATTTAAATTTCATTTACAAAAATTTAAAAATTATCCATTTAATAAATATTTGAATAAATCAAGAATACATATTTTGTTAATAATAATATACTTTATATATTACTAATAAAAACAATTCTCTTCTTTTGTGTACACATTTTATTAAATATTTTTTTTTTATTTCTATTATAATTTATCACCATTTTATCTTAACTTTTAATTTATTATATTTATGTAAGATTCATTGAGGCATTATCTTTCCCACCTGTATATAATAAAAAGATAACGAAATTGAGTGAGAAAGTTGGAAGTCAAAACTTGAAAAGGGAAAGGTTCAATGTATATGATACTATGATGGATGAATTCATGGTGGATGGGGCCACATAACGACAAGAAGATCATGCAAAAGCGTAGAAGCATTGCTCTAAAAATGCTTATTGAGGATGACATAATTAAAAACTAAAAAGTTTAATTAGCTATGATCCAAATGTGTGGCAAAAAACAAAAATAATAAAGTCTTGCTCTTATGTTAAATGATTAG